AAAAACTAAATCACAAAACAGCTATAGCAAAAAGAGTACAATGCAGATAAAACAGGAATTTGGGGAGTAGATTAAAGATACTTGTGAATATTTGCTTGGTCACAGATCTGACAAGATGGTGGATGTAACAATGTCAGTTAAACAGGGACGGCTATAGAGCCGTGCCAGTACACATAATTGAAACCAACTGCTGGTGGCAGAACACCCCAAGGTCACACTCGACAGGAGTACAAGTATAATTTTGTATTTGACAAAAAGGAGGAGGAAGAAATGGAGGGGGAAAATGAGGCTTTAACCCAGCGACAGGTTCATATCTGAGCTGTGTGAACAACAGAAACAGCTGTTCCAACTGGACTGAACACCTGCCTTCATTCAGGGACGTTCCCTGAGGCCTACAGCCACAGCTGGACATCTGGACAGTGAATGAAAGCAACTACTTTATATTTGATCATATTGACAGATGTACGCAGACAAATCGCTCAGGTCATTAAAAGCAGGGTTTGTCTTTACTGACAAGCTGTGAAATACTAATGAATTGTAAGTTAAAATGAGTAAGATTTGCATTTGTGCGTGCTTGGTCGACTTCTTTTTTTCATCCTTCTGAATGATGTCCGATGCAGGAACACAGCAGACACAACACAAAGTGTCCTAAATATTTTGGAAATGTATAAAGGCACTCATCTCATCTCAAGTCCACGGTTTTATAGACCATCTAAAGAAATTATTCAAAGTAAATTCTTGCTCTTTGTAGGAAAGGTTAATGACATGAAATCAGGAGAAATGAAAACTACTTCCTCAGCAATTGTTCTGTAACTAAGAACTTTAAGAGAAATGCATAAATCATTATAATTCCAGTAGGTTATTATCTAAACTTTAATATTGTTAATGTCCTTAATTTTCTGCCATTTTGTCTCAAATGTGACTTTAAATGCCTATACATTTTGTACATATACACCCATTTTCTTATTTACTTTAATGAAGCGTACACTTACATCTGCAGCTCAAGTCTTTCTCAACAGATGGAGTCACGTCTTTACTTTAGTCATGTGATGACAATTTAATAACGGCGGTATCACAATGACAACTGAGCAAAACCCACCTGCTGAGGAAGACCATGGCATACAGACAAAAGCAAATTTCTTTGGTCATGTCTGTGTCATGTCACCATATTTAACAAACGTTTCCCACAGATAAACTTAACATAGTATCGTTTGAAATTCCAGAGCTTGTCTAGTAACGCCAAGAATTTGAAAGACGTTTGAGTTTGCAAACAGACTTTTTTTTTTTTCAGAAATAATGAACCATTTCACTTCCAAAGTAAAGACCTTTTTATAAGATGCAAAACCGAAGCAAGTGGATGAGAAATAGCTGCATTCTCTTCCCTTTTAAATTAAGTTTGTGAAAATAAAAATACATCGTCTACTTTGAATCTGTTCTGTTTAAATGATGGATGAGTCACACAACAGAACAATTTCTCTTGCCAGTCAAAACTTTCTCTGGGCTACCAGCTTTAATCACGGCATAAAAGTACAAAGCTTTGTGTGTCATATTATTATGAAGCTGTGGTCCAAGTAAAGTGGTGAACTCGTATTGAGAGCTTTCAAACCTGATCATTACAGCACATCCTTTCATGTGCTGAACTGTTTAACAGCATTATTTGAAATTTGTCATTTTCGTTGAGTAAACACCACTCGGCAGTCTGACTCTAACTAAACTAAACTTGCACGCTCGGCTTGTTAATGTATTCAGAATGAACGTGCCACAAAGGCTACCTTTGGTCTATTAATGAGCCAGTCAAAATTATTAAAACTAATTTTATCATCTGTAATGAAAAATGAACAAATTGTGTTTGATATTGTTGGCAAAACTAACAAGGAGAATTCTGCTTTGATCAGGAAAATATCTGAACCCTGTAGGAGAATTTAATCAGCAACAAGGTTTTGGCTTCAGAATATCTCATAGAAAAAAAAGAAAGCTGATTAGGTTAAGGGGGGAGGGGGAGTAGAGAAGCAATAAAATGAGCCCATACCCAAAGAGATCATTAAGTTAATGGATTACTGGTGGCTAAAAACATTACACTGCAGAGATCTGCGGACAGCCGAGGCAGACGAGCACCACGCTGAGCGACGACGCTGAGAGCTGAGAGCCAACTCAGAAGTGACGAAGGGCATTAGCAGCCCTGCATCCTCCAGTCTGCAGCTGGTATTAGCAGGCACCGAGCGCTCTGTCAACACGTATTACTCCACACACAAATCATCTGACCGGCGTCAGCAGTTTGCCTGCACTACAGCAGGAACACTGAGGGGAAGACAGATAATAACTTTAGAAAGGAATAACTTGCGTTTCTCAGATGTGATAAGAAACATGCGGCAAAAGCTTGAGAATATGGTTGTAGAAATAATCAGACAAGATCTTAAAGGTTTACAGTGGGCTGGATTCACAAGCAAATAGAATAGGCTGGGCAGGACAACTGTTACTGTTACAAAATCAGGTTGAAATATGTTAGAAAGTAGAAGTTATAAGAAATTATTATATGATTTTTCAGGGCCAGCTGTTAGCTGTCCAGCCTTTTATCCTTCTGGGAGCTTTAACACCCGACTTTGAGGTGGATATCCATGGAGCTTGTAAACTGTGAAGCCGGACCATCATGAGCTTTACGCAACAGGACAAACGGTATCGTGGAAAAGACAAGAGGATCACTGTCAAACACCGAGGATCCAACACACATGCATACATTAAAGGCTATTTAGTGTGTTGTTGGTGTTTAAGCTGTGGAGTGGAGATCTTCGCCTTTACATTGCTATCTTGTGACAAGTACAGGGATTTGTCTGCTGCATGTGTACGTGCAGAGCTGGCTCTGAGGCTAAGGAGCATCATTACGGACTAAACACAACTCAAACAAAACACAGGCTTTCTGGTGCCCCACAGTCTACCCAACTGAGGCTCTGGAAGAACAGAGGGAGGGGGAGTTGTCTGTAGTCAGTGAGAGGGGGAAGCAGCTACGCAGAACTCAGACGATTAGAGCAACTAATTTATTGAAACTATTATTTTTTACTTCTTCAAACTTTTACATGACCCACCAATGGCTCCGTCTTTACAAACTCATGTTGATCGGCCAACTCAAACCCACAGTACTTTAGATTTCAGGGGTAGATCCTAAAGTTTCCAAAAACAGAAAAATGTCAGTTTGAATTTTGGGGAAGTGCTAAAAAAATAATACACAAGACATCTACAATATTTCCTTTTGATATGATGGTGCGGCCGTTAAAATTATGGTATCATGTGCCTTTAATGAAGTGTTGGAACCAGCTGATACAGAACATACATGTAAATGTGATGCTGGTGTAACTGTGGAAAACTTTTTTTTTTCTAAAATTTAAAAGAAACTTGAGGGAAGAGTTCAAGTAGAAATGGCTATTATGTGGTGTGGTAGTAAAATGAGAGGAAGGTACCTGCCAAGATGTGAAGCAATCACTGATGTTTGAAGCCAAAGGATGTGTGTTACACAGCGGTGGAAGATCTCAGTAAAAGTTGCATTACCACACCGTGAAAGTTCAAAATTACAAGTCCCGCATTCAGTTTCAAATGACTAAATTGAATGATTCAATATTAATAGCAAAATGATTGTCAAAATTGACATGCAGAGCTGACATATTGTAATATTGTTAATGATTCATTACTATGTAAACAGCAGTGTAATGTTGCAACTGGAGGAGGTGGAGCTCATTTCAACAACTTTATACATTATTCAATCAGTGGTGGAGAATAACTATGTCAGTGAGGTACTTTTTCTGCTACATTATACTTCTACACCACTACATTTCAGAGAGAAATGCTGCACATGATCAGTTTATAAAATGATGTATTGCTATAGGTTCGACCAGCCAAAAGTATATAAAGTAGTTAAATTAGCTTCACTTCAACCAGCTACAACAAATTTGGCTTGCATGTTTATACAACATTACAATAATCCAATAATATTATATCACTGCTGGTTATATAGTACAATTATTTTTGATTCTTTACGTACAGTTTGCTGATAATACTTCTGTACTTTTACTTCAGTAAGAATTTAAATTCAGGACTATTTCTATTATTTTCAATATTGGTATTGCTTTACTTGCTGTAAATAAAGTTATGGATACATCCTTCACTGTTTACTTCAGTCTGTAACACTGTCTCGCATAAATGTTCTTATATTATAATTTTTTTGTTTCCATCTTTGCTGCTAATGGCTCATTGTTGTGCCTTTTCTGGACTCCACTTCAATGGATTGCTTGTCATCCCTCAATAAATTAAGTTTGATAACTAATTGCAACTCTTGTCTTTTTCTGCACGGTCTAAGCTTTAATGAACAGCCTATAGGTTGTCTGATTTACATGAAAATAGCAGTAATTCAAATGTATTATATTTGAATGCTTTCTTAAAGATTCAATAAAAAGACGTGTGGAGCATCAGCCTGTACTTCTCTCTGTGGAGTACAGATCTTCTCCTGAGCTCATCTCCTGCTGGGCTGCAAATGGGGAGGAGGGGCTGTGCAGATGAAAGAGTGAGAACTGTTAGCAGCTGTTGATTCCTTCAATCACTGAATCTCTGCTCCTTCCTTTATCAGCATGTAATGGGTCTGATGTATGACTGACAGTTTTATAATGATTGGATAGTGTTAACTGGAGGCCAGGAGAGAACTGCTGACCACATGTTGTCTATAAATCAATAATTTATATTGGGTTATTGTCTAATATATACAATATCCATCAGAAATATCTACCAAATACCATCTAAATTCTATTGACTGTAGAGTTTCGTAGTGTTAAGCCATACATTGTTATGCAGAGTAAACCAGACATGATGGTGCTGTGTATAAGTGCTTGATTGTAAAAGTACATGATGCCTGAACTAGCATGAGAAATGTATTTCTGTATTTCTGCGCTCTGTGGCAGGTGTCTTAAAAGTATCCAATCATTCAGACTGGGTTTGAGTGATCAAAACAAGGAAAAACATTTACAGTCATTTCAGCGTCTTTTATTGTACGAATATAAAGAATAAATAGCACATTTCCTTAATTTACAGGATAAAACAAGTCACCGATACACGGCAGTAACATTAATCCACATTGAATTCTGAGGTTGATCTGCTTCATCCAAATATGGAAAACAGCAAGTCCTTAGGTGGCTCTATGCGCCATATCTCCATAAATACAAAATATATAACCAATATTCTCCACAAATAAAGTAGGCTCTGGTTAGAATAATACTGACTTTGTACAGGGAGCTATATATAACTGCATGTCACCGCATATACAGAAAAATACATTCCTACACTGGGTAGTGCACGTGAAAAAAGAATCACCAAAATAATGAGCTTATAATTTATCTTTTGAGTCTTTTTAACTTGAACAGGAGCATTTGCAGTCTTTGATGATCGGGTACTGAACCGGTATCCACGCGCATTTGAGTGCCCCTTTCTTCGGTAGGCATCTCCATCTCAGTATCGTCAGGTGGGTCGAGTTTGCAGGTTTACACACCATCCCCTCCGGAACCGAACACGACCTTTTGCTCAGGCAGCTGCCCACCCGCACGAATCGCGGCCAGAACCTTTGCCCAAGTCGGTCCACGTGTACACGACCGGGCAGAAGGAGTACGCCCACAGCCACTGCTGCAGCCGCCGCTTCAGTTTCTTACTGGGCTTGTGCTTCTTGCCGAACTGGACGTCGAAATCCAGCGCTCTGATTTCTTTCGGCAGTACTCTACCGGGCTTTTGGATCTCAAAGTCATCGAGCTCGTCGTTCCCGGTGTATTTGTCCTCCACGGGCGGTAAAATAGACAGAAAGCGGCTGTTAAAGTCTCCCAGGACGCTCTTCAGCTCGGTCTCGTTAAGGTCCCGCTCCTTGGGGTCGAAGACGGGGTCTGGGTCCTCCTTTAATTCCACAAGTGGCAGACTGTCACTCGGGATGGGGCGGAGAAGCAAGTAGTGCTGACAAATCCCCCTGTCCATCAGAAGTCCGAGGGAGAGCACCAGCAGATACATGGCTACAGAATGATCCATGTCCGTCCAGTGGTGATATCAGTGCGCACAGGGAGCTGCTAAAAGGCCACTTTCTTGTGCGCAATTACGCGTGAGCGGTATCCAAACCTGCGTCTTGAGTGTCCCTTAAAATTCAGTTTCCCATGATAAAAATCCGTGAAAGAAATAAAAAAGTTCGTCAGTTGCGGCATCAGTGGAAACACTTTTTTATGACAAGCTGCAAGGCAAAGCTCAGATCTCTCCTAGGGCTCCGTGCGCGCGGGCTCGGCATGGTGCTCGCGTTATCTCCTCCACAGAAAAGCGCTGAGCGTCACCCGCGACCTCCGTTATATTCTCCTCACGGTGCGTGACGTAATTCGTGCGCCCCTCTTGAATGTTGGGTTTGTTGTCTAGGAGGAGATCCCCAATACCTCCTTCTTCCACCGCACTGAAGGGGGTGGCGGAGGGGGAGGCGGGGGTTTGCCGGGAGAGGAGACGCCCCCTGTCGGTTTTCCAGACTTCCTTAAATAAGTCTCACAGTGGGAATGATTGTGGAAGTCTTTCATCTGGAGAATCCTTCTGCTTGAACCTCAGTATAAAGCACCCAAAGGTTCCACAAGAGGCCCCGCAGCATCCCAGAACATCCAAAACGTCTTGTAAAAAACAATAACTTGGAACAATAACTATAAATTTTGAGGCACTTCCATTTCCATTCCAGCTTCTCCATATTGTTATCATTTATACCACAGTTCTCCACTGCCTTTATATGACTGCTATAGTTAACAATTTCTTAAAAAAAAAATACAATATGATTAATTTATAAATGTACAATGTAAGTATATTGTAGTTGAAATCAGCTCCCTCACCACATTAATGTCAATGCTGCTTATGTCAATGGATCAGAAATAGTAATCCACTGATAATGTAACACTGACAGTGGCCATACTTTCACTTGATTACTACATTTTTACGAGTTCTACTAATAAGGAGTATTTTCACATTGTGGTATTACACTTTTATTGGCCCCGCCTTTCGCCCGATGTCAGCTGGGATTGGCTCCAGCCAATGAATCCTGTACCCAGGATAAGCGGTTGGTGATGGATGGATGGATGGTATTACACTTTTAAGTAAAGGATCGGCATATTTCTTTCACCACTGGTAAAAAAAAAAAGTGTAGTTTAATTTAGTTTAGACAACAGGCTTCATTTGGTTCAGAGGTCCTGAAAGCTTTTAGAACACAGAGAGACCACCACAGATGCTCAGATCTGAAAGTTGCTCTTCTTTAACTGGGAACTTTTTTGGTAATTTAAGTCAAATTTAACACTAATGACCACAGATTTAATCAAAGGCAAGGATCAGCAAAAATCAGCTTGACGCCAACCTGATTTTTATTTTTAGATGCAAAAAAATTATTGATTAAAAAAAAAAAAATAAGAGGGTTCAAGGAGTGTCATATTAAGACATTTATTTTTCAATTAGCATAAACTTAAATATCTAGCCATAATAATTTAACTAAGTCAGAGATTAAATCTCCTTTAAGCCATTGATAAGCAGCAACCTGCCAATGGGTCAATCAAACTCATGCTATGCAGCCAAACAATGTTCCCACTAAACTTAAATTATTGTAATGATCACAAAGTTTTTTAAAGACGCCAAATATGTCTGGCTGAAATTTGTGGATATGCATGTAAAATGACTCGCAAGACATGTAAAATATGATTTTACTTTTGAAAAAACTGACTTTAAAGTCTGGGTTTTGAACATTTCACTCAGTGTAAACATCATACTACTTCAATAAAGAGCTGAAACAAGCTGGTACAGAATATGATACTGTCAAACAAGATAAGATCATCAGCTACCTGAAAGCACCAGAACTTAAGGGGACACACACAAAGAGAAAGCTGTACGTTAAGGAGATAAATTTCACTTGTTTCCATTTTGTTCACATATTTCTTGATGAAACAAGACACACTGCAAATGAAACAAGCAAAGTTTTTGAGGAACGGCACAATTTACAGCCTGAAAATGAGATTAAGTACACTTTTTGCAGTGTATTTACTGCTTATGTCCAACTGAAGTGGGACAATATTTCTGCCTGTAACGGTGCCACAGCGAGCCTCTCAATAAGGCCAGCCAAATTAGCTCCCAAATAAACAACGCTCACTAACCAGCAGCCATGGAAAGTATCACAATTTGCAAACCTGTCTAAACTCATGCTCAGAGAATCATTCTTTGAAAAATAATTTAATGGAAGAACTTAGCCAGCTGCTACATCAGCCATAAACCATCCGCTTTAGATAAATGCATCTCTGTTTCATTTTGAATGAGCTAATTCACACAAGCACTTGAGCACACGACTCATTTAGTTTACGGTGAAATGATGGTGAAAAGTCTGGAAAATGTCACCTTTATATTTTTCATCTGACCGGCACGTATCATAAAGTATCACTCCCAAAAATGCCTGACAGATAGGATAAATCCAGAGCATTCACATGCAGGATGGCTGCAGGGTAAACTCCTCACACATAGAGATACGTGCAAAACTAACTTCAGCCTCTTAAACAGCATTCAAGAAATCATTGACATTTAAAGCATAATGCCATTAAAGATGAAGAGCAATCACTTATTTTCTTTTTAGCAAATTTAATTTAAGCAGTTGAACTTACTTGCTGTGCTAAATCGCACGCTTGGAAGAAGTTTCTAAATGAAACTGGCATGTTAAATAATATTTCACACGCTGGAATATTTCATTTCTAATGTGGCTGCATGGTCCAAATATGGTTCTCATTAAGTGTCATCAGGATTGCCAGGCTCATTTAACGCTGAGTTGTTTTTGTTTCTTCTAATCCCTTCCTACTGTTTTACCACAGGAACATTTTGATAGTGAAATATTCCTGCTTGAAAAGACAGGCTACTTGAGACAGACGCCTGCTTAATTGAATAGTTTTTTTTATTCTTGAGTTAACCAAACACAGTTCCCTTTGGCTAATAAACCGGCCGATGTAATGACCTTTTTTTCGCGGGGTCTGGTTCTTGAGAAGACTTTTAAACCTGCGCTTAAGGATATGCGTTCAAAATGAATCCCCTTGTTCGAGCCGTGCACAGGTCATTGTAGCCTTCCCTGCTGATTTCTCATTTAGTGAGGAAAAGCAGACTTCTCTCTTGGCAGACACCTTCAGCGCTGGTACCAAGAAAAGGCACGCTCAGGTAGAAACACACACACAACAGAAAGGACTCAATGATTCTGATATCTTTTATCCATGCAGGAGCAAACCACAAAGACCCGAGGTATTTAGAAAGTCTGCTTCGGGAGTCATTTCTTGATACGAAATCATCCAAGCACAGTTTTGAGGCGTGATATCCTTGATATCTGCAGTGGTTCCGTGCAGGGGGTTATCAATGACAGAGAGCAGCTCCAGTGTCATTCAGAAAACACAAAGCACCTTTTACATGCTTTATCTCCCTCTGCACGCTGTTTCACACCTTGGGCTAATTGAGGCCACGTTGCCAAGCTGAATACACACTGACATGAAGTGGGTGCTATTCTGTTTACTCTGGCACTCGGGAGGTGTGCAATTTGCTCGTTTGTTTAGCACTTTTTTCCATTCCTCTGCAATCCAAGAGCACACAATCACAATAATCACTCCTGCTGTGAGCTTAATTAAAATTAATTGCTACTCTGACCACTGACCATGAGCTGGGTGGGAGATTTACATTCTTGCAAATCACACTATTTTGGTCCCATTTCAGAAATTAAGGACTTTGTTACCCATCTATGCATCAACCTGAAACATGAAAATCCAACTGCCTTCTGTTTAGCGACTTATTTTCTGAAGATTGTTAAAATGTTCGTGTATAGGTTTCATTTTATTCATATTTTTAAGATTTCTAAGGCGAGGCAGTAAGATTTTTTTTATTCAAATAACAGTTTTATACTCTTTATAACTCTGGACCTCAAATAATATATTATTCAAATGAGCCCTTTATGTTGAATCTATATAGAGTCATCTTCAGGTTGTACAGAACACTCGGCTTTTAACAAGCCCTATAATTAGCACATTTAGCTCATTTTTTCCCACAGGTTGCAGAGTTGATGCTTAAAGCCTGGTGTGAGTGTGTGTTCCTTCCATTCCTCCATAAAAGTTTTCACAGACAGAAACTCTGCATGCAAACAAAGTCATTAAACCAAGCCTCAGAACAAAGTACACAGCGATTACTCAGGAGACTGAATTTGTATTTAGGTGTACAGGTGACAGACGATCAGTATAATATATGTGAAAAAAAACCTATAAACGTGATAGTGCTCCTCTTTGTTAGTTTAGGGATTCTTCGGGAGAAGCTGAAAAAACATTTTTCTGCCTTCAAATAACCTACAAAACTAAAGACCTTGAGAGATTACACGGTTGACAGGATTCAAATCTGCACTGCTAGTCAGGTATTAAGAGTCACACAATTTAAAGTACAAGTACACAAATGGGTCAACTGGTGGCATTGTAACAAGTATTTTGGTTGTAACTCCTGAACTGTGACTTCTTTTAAATGTTTTCCCCTTTGGCTCATTGTGCGTACTTATTTTCCTTTCTGCATAATCATTTTTCCAGTATCTTGAATTTTATTGATAAAACATTGGAGTTGATCTAAATAAATAATTCAAAATTTTACACACAGTGTAGACTTCCCAGATTACAACTAATACCAAGAATTTTGATAACCCACATTATTTAGCTGTTAAAACACATTTAGATCCAACATTAGACCATGAAAAAGTGCTGCCCCCTCGTTAATTTCAATGGGACCGCTGCATTGGCTCAGCAGGGGTGCAGACACGGAGGGCTCCAGCAAAAAAACAAAAGTTTGTCCAGGAACCTTTGCAAGCCACTGCGGTGGGCGATGAAATACATGCAAGCCCACATTTCTGGTAGATTCTGTTCACCTGCAATTGTCGATGACAATACAGAGTTGTAACAAGTCTTACAAACTATGCTGTTTTACATGTTCTGATAAGCCTGGAGACTCAGATCTGTTACTCAAACTGGACTTCTTAGATCATATTTCATCATGTCACTACCTGAAGCAACACGCCCCCACCAACAAAGCCATTCATATTTTTTAACGAGGGGTTTTCTGTCAGTGCCCACTAACGTGTGGGATGGACTTTTGGTTTCAATCGAAAGCACTACCATGAGGACAATTTTAATTACTTACTTACTAATGATTTAGAGCTTTCAACCAAGTTTCACAGTCTTCATTCAGGAACCAGAGTTGGCTCCGGGATTATAACCAAACTGTCCATTTTCATTTACTTGACACCTCTGTAACA